TCTTCCCTCTGCAAGCAGATGAAATGTGCACTTAATTTTCAAAAAAGTGGCTGCTGGGATGGCAGCTGAGGGAAATCAAAGGCTCAGCGGGCCCCAGTAATTCACACTCACTTTGTATAGCCAGAGCAGCTAATGGGCTGGCAGCGTAAAAATGTGCCCGGCTCTTGCTAGCACACTGCTGTGTGGAGGCCCATCCCACCCCTCTGGCTCCCTCTGCGCGCCTGCCCAGGGCAGCCAGAATCCGGATTCCTGCAGAGAAAGAAAATGGCCATGTCCCACTCCGCACAGGCTTGGGTGGCTGAGGCAGCCTGGCAGACGTGTGACCCACTTCCACCACCTCATCTGTATTGTCCGCTTCTGGGCATCCTCCTCCAAGGGCCACTCATTGTGATCTGTCCTATTTGCCCACGAATGCGGAATTGACTTTGATGAGCTACAGGTGATAATGATCTCCTGGGTCACAGACTTTTGTATGAGATGAAAGACCACAGCAGAGCCTGGCTGGTCTGATTAGTGCCTAAGTTGGGTGATTATTCTGGAAATACAGACAGGGCTTTCTTTGGGGTTTTGTTCTCTCCCTCCCCTTCATCATTGGGTTGCTGAGAACCGAGGTCATTCTCCAATGAAACAGTCGCTCAACTGCTCTGTGCTGGGCATGTTCACATGTCATTTTTCTTGAAGCCTCTCATGAGTACACTGCAGGAGGAGCCACTTGTCCCCAGTTGACAGGCAGGGAACTGGAGGCTAGCAGCTAGTTGGGAGCGTAGTTAAGATTCTATCCAAGTCTGCTCTTTCCTCTGCATTGTTAGTGACAATCGTAATTCAAGGTCAAAATCCTTCAGGACCACCCTCCAGGTTCCCTAAATAATGACGTATCCACCTTCACCCCAAAGAGTGTTGACTTTTGAATAATTCAACCTCTATCTCATGCTTGTTAGAGCTTTATTTTTTTAACTCGTAATCACATCTCATATCACTAATGCTCCAGGATATATCATAAGACATGGAGAGCTAGGTTAGTATTCCCAGTTGTTTGGAGAAAGGCATTGAACACCCAGAGAATAAGTAGCAGCATGGTGGGGAGGGATGAGACCTGAGAGATCAGGAGGTGCCTGGGTGCCTCACTTTATCATCTGTGTACATTGACACACAACTTCAACCAGCAGAAAGTGGAAAATCTGAGATTGATGAGATAGGACTGGGAAGAAAATATTGTTGCCTTTGAAAAGTTGAAAATTGCCATGAGGAAGAAGCAGCAGCCGTGTGTGTGTGTGTGTGTGTGTGTGTGTGTGTTTCACAGAAGGCATATGAAAAATGAGAGAATTCAGCCTCTGATTGGGTCCCTGATGAGTCCTAGTCAATCCCCAGCTCAGTTAGATAAAAATCAAACAAAACACACACACACACACACACACACACACACACAAAACAGAGATAGAAGCCCTGAGCAGGGCTTATCATGAGAACTGGTAGTGGCTGACCAAGCAACTATCCACCAAGCACTAATTGCCTGAATATTTTATAAGCTTTGCAGGTAGGGAGAGATAAGAGTCCTTGGGACAGTGATCACCCAAGACTGAGAGTCTCGAATCAATTGGGGATCAGATCGCCTTCCCCAACCTCTTCCCATAGAACACCTAATAAAGGTACGTACAAGGTGTGGGACACAGACCTAAGATGATGGTTGGTGGGTAGCAAGGCAGAAGCATTTTCAGAGTGGTGTCGCATTTATCATTTTTGAATCTCATCTTAAGGGAATTGATCCCAAATCTTAAAGAGAGACTGTAAAACTCTAGGCCTCTCAGGGTGCTGTGAGATACCGAGTGAGCAAAGCCATATGCTGCAGAGGACGAAATGGCAATGTGCAACACAGCTCTGGGGAGGACCATCCCCAACTCCAGTGTGAGTACGTGGTATGGAGAAGCTGCAAGAGGCAAATGGAAGTGACCTCAGCTCAGCCTCTATAGTGAAGTCCTCTGGTGACCTCGCACTGGTGAGGATGAGAAGAGGGGAAGGGGCACATTGGCACTGTCTGCCTGTGGCACTGGAGCAGTTGAAGAGGCAGGAGTAGCTCAGGCAAGGAGGTGGGACCAAGCTCAGGGAGCTGCTGTAGCTGGAGAACTTCAGTGACCTCCAAGATGGAGAGCGAGACGCTCTGAGAGGATACCATGAGAGATCAGCAGCTCCTCCTCTCTGCCTGATTATATCTCACTCAACCTTTAACACCCAGTTCCAAGGACACGTCTTCAAGTGCTCTTTTCTAGAAGTGGGTCATCCTCCTCCAAACTCTCAGAGCTGCCAGAGCTCTTAACCTTATTGCACATGTTATTTTCCAGCTTGTACTTCAGCTGTCCATTTGCCCCAATTAATTTTTCTAGACCACAACCACCTGCTTCGTGTTCCTCTCCCCTCTTTACATTCAACATCTGCTTCTACTGGTAGATCCTGCACTCACGGGGGGAAGAGACCTCTGCTCTGAATGCTTCACACACGACTGACGTGGTGATTTTGTTTTTGAGTGAGTGACTATTTAATGAAGGAGGAAAGATGGAGACTGGATCACGGAGGGAGATGGGTGCTTTTTAGTCCTCTGGGAAAGACATCCCTGTGGCTTTGGCCCCATTGCAGCTTCGTTTTCCCAGGAGGGGCCAAGTCTTGCTCCCAGTGAGTGAGCCAAGAGATGGAAGGATGGAAGCTCATCAGTCTGCCTCAGAGGAAATGCCCTTGACAGGGGCAGCCTGTGCTGGGGGCCAGCAGGCTGTCTGTGTTGTTTCTTTCCCAGGAATCAGAGGCGGAGAAGGCAGGAAGAGACTTGTCTCAGAGGCTGGTGGATGAAGGAAAGGGGAAGGGGGCAGGGGCAGAGACAGCACCTCCGCTGACTAATTAAACATTTTGGTAGCTGGCCCCCACCAGCTCAAGCAGATTATCACTGCTGAATCAGCTCCCTGCCAAGGCCAGACTCACACTCCCTTTTTTCCTGCTTGATTTGCCTAATGGAAGCTGACAGTGAAGTTCAACCCTGATTGTCAGATTTCAGTAGGAACCTCAAGGGGGGTGGGGGAGGAAGGCAGACATTTGAGGAATAAAAATAGCACACATAATGAGATCCTTTATTTAGCTGAACCACTTCTTTAATGACTCATATCGCTCTCTCTCTCTCTCTCTCTCTCTCTCTCTCTCTCTCACACACACACACACACACACACACAGTTGTGCACACAAATGTCTGATTTTCATATAGGCTGGAGACCTTGCCTAGGTCCTGTAGGAAAGACAGGCCATCCATCCTGGACTGTAGAAGTCTCCAAAGGGATGTCAATTATTGGTGAAAATGGGAAATATTCCCCCACATTCTGCCAACCAACCGGGCTTCTTGCTCCTCCAATCTCTTTCAATAGATTTATTTTCCAAAATGTGACTGAGGAAATTTGTCAGACCAACAAAACCAAATACATAGGCAAGCACTCATGACCTTGGATAGTTCCTTGCCCTTCTGTGACTCTAGTTTTATAAAACTGAGATCTGGAAAGTTTGGTTAACTCTCAAAACCTGAGCTCATCCTAAGAAGCATCAGCCTTAACTCTTGGGAAAAGGAGACAGGTTGGCACAGGCAAAATTTCAAGATACTGCCTGTCACAAAGTATATGGACAATAAACGTCAGCTCCTTCATGACTCTGAGGTGTATGACTTCATAGGATCCAGGAATCCTAAGCATCAGGGTTGAAAACCTAGTTCTATTCAAAAGAAAACATGGTTGAATTTTAGTAAAGGCAGCTAACAGTTCTGAGTGTTTGCGAGTGTCAGGCACCATTCTAAGCACTTCCCATGCATTTACTCAGGTAAGCCTCACTGCTGATATCCCCATTTTATAGGTGAAGCAGCCAAGGCACAGAAGAATTAAGCAACTCACCCGAAGTCCTCACAACTTAGTGCTGAACCTAGAATTCATGTGGTTTTTTAAAATATGTTTTTATTGCTTTCAGGGAGAGGGAGAGGGAGAAGGAGAGGGAGAGGGAGAGGGAGAGAGAAACATCAATGATGAGAGGGAATTATGGACTGGCTGCCTCCTGCATGCTCCCTATAACCAGGCATGTGCCCTGACTGGAAATTGAACCACGGCCTCCTGGTTCATAGTTCAACGCTCAACCACTGAGCCACACCAGCCATGCCAGAATTCATTTTTAAGTTGCCTAAAAAGTTGAATAAATAGACAAGGCTTCATAAAGGTTAGACATTAGTATCCTGAGCATATCTGTGCAAAGATCCTTCCATAAGAAGCTTATAACAAATGACAAGAACAAAAATGAATTGAACCACAGCCTCCTGGTTCATAGTTCAACGCTCAACCTCTGAGCCACACCAGCCATGCCAGAATTCATTTTTAAGTTGCCTAAAAAGTTGAATAAATAGACAAGGCTTCATAAAGGTTAGACATTAGTATCCTGAGCATATCTGTGCAAAGATCCTTCCATAAGAAGCTTATAACAAATGACAAGAACAAAAATTTTTGTGTGCTGAGAAGGAGGGGAATTGGGGCATCCTCGTTGAGGGATATTGGGCTTGGACTAGTGTACAGCTCTGTGAGTGCCTCCTTACACTTGGCCCCTCACATACCCCATCAATCTTATGCTACTCACAGCTACATGTGAGAGAGATACTAAAAGGTAAAAAGATACAAAGACATTCTGAAGCTGATGCCTTTAGAAGAGGCCTCTAGAGAGCAAGTTCAAATCCAGTGCCTAAAGCCAATTGGACCCAGGCATCACATGTTCTTGGCAGAGAAAGACAGGCCAAAGGTCATTAGAAAATCACTCTAGGAAACTTAAAAATGAAGATGTGGAATCTTTTTTGAATGATTTTTTCTTTAAATTACAGACCATGCTTTCTTTTTCTTTTCTTTTTATTTCTCCATTCTAACAATACACTTGAGCATTAGTTCCTGTTTCCAATGGCCATTATTTTCCCCCTCATTATTTCATCCTCATTCCCTGTTTCACAGATGAGGGACCTGAAGCACAGAGAATTTCAATGAGTTTCCCAAGATAAAGCAACGCATGAAGACAGCTAAGAAAGATCTAGAGACCAAGGCCTGGAATCTGTTCACTGTAAGATGCCCCCGCTTGTGTACTCAACATGGAATAGTAAGCACAGTAGAGGCAGGGAGGTACAAAAGGGGAAGACACAGTCAGTGACTCCAGGAACTTGGAACTTCCTACTCTATCGTGACTTGTTCATATTTTTCCAACGTGCCCATCTAAGGGATCACACAACTGCCACCAAGATGCCTGCTTTCTCGCCACATACATCTTCATGGGTCTTTTGGTGTCACCATCGCAGGTGAATCTCTGCTTTGATTGTTAGGATTCTGCACAGAAAAGCAGCCCTGGCCCACCTGCCACCTCTTCCTTCCCTGTTCTAGAAAAGTTCAATTTCATACACAATTATATTTGTTGTTGAGAAACAGTTTATAAACCATACTCTACTCATTGCCATGCAGAACAACAAAATGGCCCACTTTTTCAAGTGTCTCTAGTGACTATTTAAATTAATACAAATGTTTAACTGTACTTTCAGGAGGCAGGCATGATTTTTATTAATCACCAGCTTCCCATCATCAGTGGAATGCTAACTTTGAAAATAGAGCAAAATAATAACAACCGTGGCAAGAGGGATTCCCCAACTTCTGATCACTTCATATTCCATCTATTTCATGGACAAGTGACTAGAAAAATGGCCAGTGGAGGGCTATAGACAAGCCAGAAACAGCAAGAGGAGTTCATGTAGCTGCAGAACCAGCTCAAAATGGCCCTACCCTGTTTAACAAGATACTGAGTTGCTTTTCAGAGACAACAGACCAAGACCAAGAGTCATGCATCTGGGGCATAAGCAGAGGAGAGAACTTTGGGCTCCAAATGCACATGGAACCAAAGTCTCCCCCACCCCCACATGGAACCCAAAGACCAGGACATAACTGGAACTTGAATACCAGAACTCTGTCAGAACCCAAGAGTTTATTGTCCAGGAAGATCCAGTGTCGATGCCTCTTTACCATAAATGGCCAAGCTCCAAGGCTCTCCAATTAAAATTTGCCCCACCAGCACTTTCTCATTCTTGTTCCCCCTGACCGCTTAAAAGCTCTGGGCTTTGAGGCACTACTAGGTCTCCAATCTTCTCAGTTGACATCTTCTCAATCAATAAAACTTCCCTTATTCCAAACTCTGTTGTTTTGTGTTTTGGTTCTTCTAAACATCAGGCACATGGACTTTGGTTTGGTAGCATTCAGAATCAATGAATCAAGCAAGACCCGACCAGCTCCTCACCTGCCAAGCTCATTCACCTTTATTCAACACCTGTCACTGTCTTGGCTTCTCCTTTCTCTCTGCCAAGGAAATAAAATGATCACCACCAACTCTGCCCGTTAGACCCCAGAGGAATCAAAAATAAATAAATAAATAAATAAATAAAAAGAATGCGAACTCAAAATTAAGGGAAGGGGTGTGGGAGCGGGATGCTGTCTTTAGTGGTTGAGATATTTCAACACATTGCAAAAGGACGAAAATCAGAAAAAAGTACACAGATGGATAAAACAGAAAAAGCACCACCCAGAATACACTAAAAAGGGGATCAAGTGGTGAAGAGGCTGGTCTTCTGAGCCTAACCCAGGACAGACTCTAGACTAGAGGCCTGGAAGAATAGAGGTCAGCAGTGAGAGGAACAGACACAAAATAAATTAATTGTACATATATTTGTCCCCAGGACAGATATGCCATTTAACATTCCCATCTACACTTGTCCTTGTAGAGTAGAAATGAGAGAAGTTCCAAGATGGAAGTCAGGATGCAGCTGGCTGAGATTGAAAAAGGAATTTGAGGGGATCCAAAAAGTATGTTTCCAATAAATAAACTGGATGCTCTAATAGATGGGATCATTGACCCATGGGATAATTCTGAGGATGTGGTAAAGACATATTATTGTTCTAGCAACAGGAAAAAGGGAAAGGGAAAGAGGGAGAGAGAAGGAGGAAGAGAGGGAGGGAGGGAGGAAAAAAGGGAGAAAGGGTGGGAAGGAGGAACTCCATGTTGGGGGAAGAAACTCAGGATCCAAATATAAAGCAAAATTAAACACTTCTGAGCCATTAATAGAGTGTTCAAAAAAGGAAAGATAAATATTTTTAATCTACATGCTAGGAAACTTTTCTCCTGAGTGGCGTGATTCCCAAGATGGAAATGGGCTCTGAAGACTGAAAGTTGTACTTAGTCACAATAAGGCCAATGATTTTGTTTTGCTTTGTTTTCAAGTTTTAGAGTTCATCTGCCAAAAAACTTAAGAAGTCTTCATTTTGGATATGATTATATTTTTAATCTTGCTCAAATAAAAATGATGTTATAGCTTATGAAGTTTGGATGGTGGGGGGAGGGGTAGAAAGGAGCTAGAGAAAAGACTGTCATTGCTGAAAGGCTCAGCTTTGATGATATGAAGTCAGGCATCTGCTAACATTGATGCAAGAAGAAACAGAGTTTTAAATATATTACTTAAAATTATAAGCCTAGCCATAAGAAAAAAATACAAATTATAAATATAAAAAAAAGGGATCGAAGGAGGTCCTATTGTATTCTATGTGAAATAAATACAGTGAGCCTGAAGGGAAGGGGAGAGAAAGAGTAAGTGACTGATATTTTTTC